AATGGTGTGACGTTTCGGTAACAGCGTTGTTACCATCCTCAGACAAAAGTGCTGAATGGTGTGACGTTTCGGTAACAGCGTTGGTACCATCTTCAGACAAAAGTAATGAATGGTCTGACGTTTCGGTAACAGCATTTTTACATATTCAGACAAAGGTGCTGAATGTAGGTAATAAGAACTATTTCCAAATAAATAAATAGTGTGTGACGTTTCGGTAACAGTGTTGTTACCATCTTCAGACAAAGGTGCTGAATGTAGGTAATAAGACCAAATAAATAAATAGTGTGTGACGTTTCGGTAACAGTGTTGTTACCATCTTCAGACAAAGGTGCTGAATGTAGGTAATAAGACCAAATAAATAAATAGTGTGTGACGTTTCGGTAACAGTGTTGTTACCATCTTCAGACAAAGGTGCTGAATGTAGGTAATAAGACCAAATAAATAAATAGTGTGTGACATTTTGGTAACAGTGTTGTTACCATCTTCAGACAAAGGTGCTGAATGTAGGTAATAAGACCAAATAAATAAATAGTGTGTGACATTTTGGTAACAGTGTTGTTACCATCTTCAGACAAAGGTGCTGAATGTAGGTAATAAGACCAAATCCAAATAAATAAATCGTGTGTGACGTTTCGGTAACAGTGTTGTTACCATCTTCAGACAAAGGTGCTGAATATAGGTAATAAGACCAAATAAATAAATAGTGTGTGACATTTTGGTAACAGTGTTGTTACCATCTTCAGACAAAGGTGCTGAATATAGGTAATAAGACCAAATAAATAAATAGTGTGTGACATTTTGGTAACAGTGTTGTTACCATCTTCAGACAAAGGTGCTGAATGTAGGTAATAAGACCAAAACCAAATAAATAGTGCGTGACGTTTCGGTTAGAGCATTGTTACCATCATCAGAAAAAAGACAATGATTTTGATAAAGCACAATTTGGATTATAGATTATAGCTACAAGAAAATAAGACCTAATCCAAATGATTTAATAGTGTGTGATGTTTTGGTAACAGCGCTGTTACCAAAATGTCACACACAATTTATTTGGATTATATCTTTTTTTCTGGTAACTGAATGATTTTGTTTTTGTTGATTCATTCTTTATTTCAGGCTTTTTCCATTCAGTCTTTTGTCTGAGGATGGTCTGAGGTGGTGCATTTACAGTAAAAGTATCGCCAACTACTACCCACCATGATTATCATGGCCTCTGTACTATGTGTAGTAGGAATAATAATAATGATCTTCTTTCTTATCTCCATTCAATCATATCAAGGTATCAAGCTTGTAGATCTTGTTGATGGTGTCTGTGCTGGGGATGAGTAGAGCTCATCAATGGATGAGTCAATACAGTGAATGATGTGGTTTGGGGATGCAGATTGAGAATTGCACTTAGTACAAAGTCATTGTCCATAGATGACTAGACTTAAGTCTGGAAATCAGACTGTTGTTCTCTTGGGAGGACAGAATTGGTGCTTGTCCCTCCTGTTCTATACCAGTCATGTGTAGCATTAGATTTCTATGTTGTGGTTGTTTCTTATCCCCTTGTGTAAAGATTACACGAATTCCATGAGTTCATGTTCCTTGAGCTTATCTCATGGAATGGGATGTAGGGGTGCAGCTTTTGTTGATCATTGTACCATGATCCAGGCACACTTTGGTGAAAGTCTGAATTTGCCTGTAATTTGAGGCCACTTCCTAACATGGAAGCAGACGCCTTTGCCGCCGACTCTAACATGAGTACAGACGCAGCTCCTCCGTATCCCTGGAGTGGGACCCTTGCTGAGGTCTATCAACCAGGTCAGTTGAAGTCAGGATTTTTAAAGAGGTCTACTCCTCTTCTAACAATGCTGCTGTTGGTCCGCGACTGCTTATTCGTCAGTTATTCTGCTTGTTTCGCAGCTGGCCTTCATATCTGAAGGTCGTTTCCCTATCCGCCACCTGGGGATGCGCCCTATAGCAGTCAGCTCTGCCAAGGGTTAGATTTCTATTCCTGCAGGCATTGGGTCTTGATGGTATGGAGGAGGTCTATTTAATAATAATAATAAAAAAAAGATAATGGCAGAAAAACTAAGTGGGCATTACCACTCATTGACAATACCAAACATCTATCACCCAGGGATGTGGTTTCTTTAATACATTTTCACACAAAGACATCCTGTTGAATTCAAGTCAGAGTTGAAATATAGTTGGATTTGAACAAATGGTTGATAATCTTTCAAGGCACAATTTGGGTTATAGAAAAGAATCATAAAGTAACATTGTCAATCCAAATAAATAAATACTGTATAAGAGAGAGAAAATAGAGGTAACCCGAGTTCCTGGAGCGTAAATCGCCAACTACCTGGGCTACTGTATAATCTACACAAGGTAATAACACTAAATAAATAGATAAATAGTGTGTGATGTTTTGGTAAAAGTATTGTTACCATCTTCAGACAAAAGTGCTGAATGATGTGATGTTTCGGTAACAGCATTGTTACCATCTTCAGACAAAAGTGCTGAATGGTGTGATGTTTCGGTAACAGCGTTGTTACCATCTTCAGACAAAAGTGCTGAATGGTGTGATGTTTTGGTAACAGCATTGTTACCATCTTCAGATAAAAGTGCTGAATGGTGTGACGTTTTGGTAACAGCATTGTTACCATTTTCAGACAAAAGTGCTGAATGGTGTGACGTTTCAAAAACAGCGTTGTTACCATCTTCAGACAAAAGTGCTGAATGGTGTGACATTTTGGTAACAGCATTGTTACCATCTTCAGACAAAAGTGCTGAATGATGTGACGTTTTGGTAACAGTGTTGTTACCATCTTCAGACAAAAGTGCTGAATGGTGTGACGTTTAGGTAACAGCATTGTTACCATCTTCAGACAAAAGTACTGAATGGTGTGACGTTTTGGTAACAGATTTGTTTTCATCTTCAGACAAAAGTGCTGAATGGTGTGACGTTTTGGTAACAGATTTGTTACCATCTTCAGACAAAAGTGCTGAATGGTATGACGTTTTGGTAACAGCATTGTTACCATCTTCAGACAAAAGTACTGAATGGTGTGACGTTTTGGTAACAGATTTGTTACCATCTTCAGATAAAAGTGCTGAATGGTGTGATGTTTTGGTAACAGCGTTGTTACCATCTTCAGACAAAAGTACTGAATGGTGTGACGTTTCGGTAACAGCATTGTTACCATCTTCAGACAAAAGTGCTGAATGGTGTGATGTTTTGGTAACAGCATTGTTACCATCTTCAGACAAAAGTACTGAATGGTGTGACGTTTTGGTAACAGCATTGTTACCATCTTCAGACAAAAGTGCTGAATGGTGTGACATTTTGGTAACAGTGTTGTTACCATCTTCAGACAAAAGTGCTGAATGGTGTGACGTTTAGGTAACAGCATTGTTACCATCTTCAGACAAAATTGCTGAATGGTGTGACGTTTAGGTAACAGCATTGTTACCATCTTCAGACAAAAGTACTGAATGGTGTGACGTTTTGGTAACAGATTTGTTACCATCTTCAGACAAAAGTGCTGAATGGTGTGACGTTTAGGTAACAGCATTGTTACCATCTTCAGACAAAATTGCTGAATGGTGTGACGTTTAGGTAACAGCATTGTTACCATCTTCAGACAAAAGTGCTGAATGGTGTGACGTTTAGGTAACAGCATTGTTACCATCTTCAGACAAAAGTACTGAATGGTGTGACGTTTTGGTAACAGATTTGTTACCATCTTCAGACAAAAGTGCTGAATGGTGTGAAGTTTTGGTAACAGCATTGTTACCATCTTCAGACAAAAGTACTGAATGGTGTGACGTTTTGGTAACAGATTTGTTACCATCTTCAGACAAAAGTACTGAATGGTGTGACGTTTCAGGAACAGCGTTGTTACCATCTTCAGACAAAAGTAATGAATTCGGTAACAACGCTGTTGCCAACATTTCACACACTATTTTTTCATTTGGATTTAGTCTTATTACCTTGTGTTTACAATCTATAATCCAAATTGTGTCTTATCATTATAGTATATCTCTTCAACTGCTAAACCGAGGAAGATGTTCAGGGGGCATTATTATAAAAGTGAAGCCACTATGGATTTCGGCAATCTTTAAACTAGTTAAATCAACAGACTCAATACTGTGGTAATAAGACCAAATCCAAATAAATAATTAGTGTGTGACGTTTCAGTAATTTCAGTACTTTTGTCTGAAGATGGTAACAACGCTGTTACCGAAACATCACACACTATTTATTTATTTGGATTTGGTCTTATTATCTTGTGTTTATAATCTATAATCCAAATTGTGCCTTATCAGACTCAGTACTGGTTTGTATGATTTTTGTGTACCTATCCCCAGTACAATCACAACTTGAGAATCTAAAAAAAACCCTATTTTTTGTTACATTTAGAATGATAAGGCACAATTTTGAATTATCAACATATATAGTCACGACTGTCATGGGCCGGCTGGCCGGCCGGCAGGTTCTGTCACGGATGCGCGCGCATCATCATTATGATCATTATCATTATCTAATGATAATAATAATAATAATAATAATAATTATTATTATTATATTATTATTATTATCAACATATATAGTCACGACCGTCATGGGCGGGCTGGCCGGCCGGCCGGTTCTGTCACGGATGCGCGCGCATCATCATTATGATCATTATCATTATCTAATGATAATAATAATAATAATAATAATAATAATAATTATTATTATTAACATATATAGTCACGACCGTCATGGGCCGGTTATGTCACGGATGCGCACGCACAGGGAGGTCACGTGCTCGCCGGCAGCCAACGGGCGCGCGCCGCCGGCATTACGTCATAGATTATAAACACAAGGTAATAAGGCAAAATAAAAAAATAGTGTGTGATAAGGCACAATTTGGATTATCTACTTATATAATTGCCTTATTCTGTCTGTGTGAAGTTCACTGTGTGAAGTTCACGGATAGATTTTGATCAGAACGGATAAAATAAAAAAATTTCAAGGGATGGGAATCGAACCCACGACCTACCGCTTACCGGGCAGATGCCATGACCACTAGGCTACCCTGGACATATTTTTCCGTTCACATTTTTATTTTTATATTTTCAAGACACACACAGTTTGGGGCGGGACGTTTCACAAAAGAGAGATCCACGGCGCCAATTTATAATTGTAACGAATAATATTTTAATTAAAACATTTTTAAAATATATACGCACTCGGGTAAAACCCGGGCGTTGCCCGGGCCATTCGTCTAGTAGATTATAACTACAAGAAAATAAGACCAAATCTAAATAAATAGTGAGTGACGTTTCAGTAACAGCATTATTACCATCATCAGACAAAATAAATCTAATTTTATCATTTCCATCTATAATAAAATTTATCCTTTGTCTGATGATGGTAACAAACGCTGTTACTGAAACCTCTCACTATTAATTTAATTGGATTTGGTTTCATTACTTCGTGTGCCTAATCTATGATCCAAATTGTACCTAGTCATTAACGACCCCCCTATATTTTCACCCCGCACTCTTTTTCTGTATCTCCCAGGAAAAAATCTGTCAATAAGGCATCATTTGATTGATGTCACGCTTTAAGGTATTGAAAAGAAGTGTAGCAGTGAAGGTTGCAATGAATCGTAACAAATTACAATTAAACACCAACTTTAATTCACATGAAAATTCTTTTTTTTTTTTAAATTATCCCTAGTACACGTGGTGCAGGCCATGATAATCATGGTGGGTAGTTAGCGACTGCTTTTACTGTAAATGCACCACAGATCTACACATGTGAAAGGCAGTTCGACTTTGCACTTACAAATGTGCCAGAGCCCCGTTTGGTTACTTGCACTCGCTGGTGGGGTTGGACTTTTCCAAGAATCGGGGGCCATTGGAGCATTTTTTTTTTATCAGAAAAAAAGTGTCCAATGCGGGAATCGAACCCGGGTCGTAGTGGTCGAAAACCAAACGTTTTACCAGCCTTCTACCGACCCCCTAAAAATTCTCTGATCCCTTAGAGTGTTCAATTCAAGAAGTTGGACTGTACAGGTATATCGTTGCTTTCAAAAAGGGGCTGATAATTGGTCAAATATAAAGTAAAATTTGGGTTATAGATAAGAAAGACAAATTACCAAATCCAAATAAATAATGTAACAATAGAACTTCCCTGTAAAGGACAACACCTAATTGCAGATCCAAAGTGTCCTTTAGGGAGAGGTGTCCTCTTACCGGAGAGTTTCTAAATAGTAAAAATGGTAATTTTGTAAATGAAAACTGTCCTTTGTGGAAAGGTGTCCTCTCATGGAGGTTCTATTGTATAACATATTTGAGCGCTGCTTGATCAAACTGTTTTATCTACTTCATAAAATTTGTTCTTGTTACTTTGTGGTGGTTGGTTGAATTAAAGAGCTGTTATATAGGCTATATATAGTCAAGTTTTCAAACCTAGAGATACCAAATATCTACCTTTTTTTAATACGCGCGCGGGGGGTAGAACTTCCATGAGAGGTCACTCTCTCTAGAAGACACCTCTCTATAAAGTACAGTTTCCATTGACAAAATTACTATTTTTACTAATTGGCTGCTCTCCAGAAAGAGGACACCTTCTCTAAAGGACACTGGCGATTCTCCACCAAACTCTGCAGCGGTGGTAGAGGCGCCATATTCATTGTACATAGTAATTATTGTCATT